CGGGAGCAATTTGGGGCGTTCAGTATCTTGCTCAGGAGGTGAATGGGGTGAAGGAAGGTAGCAAACAGTTTTGCACTGAAATGAAAGTTGAAAGTAACAGAGAGGAGAACAGATTAAAAGTTTGACAGCATCAACATGATGGATGGCTGGTTAGCCAATAATAGGATAGTTGTTTGCAATGTTATTTATTTAGTGCCAAAGAAAACTGAGCCTGAGCAGGTTGCACAGGTTTACCATTAGTGTTGCGTGAGAAAGACCAACTGCCAAAAGCAGCAAGAGGACAGTAGGATTTAAGTTTTTATATTTATCTATTGTGGCAAAAGTAAATCAAAATCAGTTAATATGTCTAGAATATAATTCCTCAACCTAAGATCATGACAAATGTTTCGGTTATACAGTTCAGAGATAGTGTATTTGTGCACAGGGCTAAAAATAGATTCTAAACCTGTGTACAAAAGTTTGTGTTTAGAAGCTTTGAAAAGTCAAATTCAACACTGGAGGAAATTCAGCGATTTACTGATGTTAAACTTGAATATTGTCCACTTTGTACCCTCACCACTCGCCAAATCAGAGCCACACTTATTGCTCACCCATGTGTTATATACATTACTGCATTTTACCTGCCAGGTATATCAAAATATTATCAGTCTTTAAAAGAGGTGAGCATCTGCAACACTGTTGGCCTGACAAGCATGTCATATTTTCACTGTAAGTGTGTTAAAACGTATTTAAATGTAGAAGGTTTCTAAGAACCCCTTTCAGAAACAGAATACTTTTTAGCATATTTTGACATATTTTCGGGTGTGGATGTGAATCTTTTCCTTATGTGTAGCTGTAAACTGTGTGAGCATGAATTAACCTTAAACCTTCTTCTTTGAGGGACATAAAGGGGGTCCTAAAAAGTGTAGACACAAATATATGTTTATGCATGTTTCAATACTTCTTTACAGAAGCCCAAAAGATAGATTGAATATATCCGTGGAGATACAGAGATTTAAAAGACAAAATTACAAATTAGAGTGAATTAAATGAAAATAAAATGGTAAATCAACATTATGAGATAAAAAGTAAATGTGGTTTTTGTTTTGTTTTTCTGGTAGAAATGGATCTCCATAATGCTTAATTATACCTTACAGGGACGTTCTAGCATTTTGGAATATGTTCTATTTAGCTTGTCTCCCCAACTTTGTTTCTCTGCTGTGTGTTCTGTGCATAAAAAGTCAAAGAAGTCCACGTCAAACCAGTGTTGTCAGTGTAGACAGTGTCACATCTGCCATTTATAAATATTTAGGTTTTTTTAAAAAACAGTTTGATGGTAATTATTCAAAGGTACTCAATATTCTGTTTAGTCATTCATTTATTCATCGTCACAATCTTGGCCCTTGCCCATTCTCTTTTTGAAGCAGCATTGGGAGATGAAACCCACGCAGAAACAAAAGCTTTTGAAGTTGTAATCTCCATCACGGTTCACAGAGTTTAGCCTGCAAATACATACTGTACACATGTAATGTGTAAAACAAGGTCAACAAATAAACCTTTTTCTCTATAGACAACATAAACGTCAGTCCACCTTCTGGACAATAAGTACTGTATGGCACAAAGGGACTGGTAAAGCTGGTGTTTCCAGAACATGAATGGCCATTTTCTTTGCACATGTATAAAGCTCTGTGAGTCAGACTCTAAAATAAACAGTGCAAACATAAGCAGTACTGAAGCGTTGTCACCCTTTCGACGTTTACATTCTTTTCATCCTTTAAATTTAACAGCATTATATGTATCTAATTTACCAATATCAAGAGAGTTTATAAGACTTATAATAATAATAATAATATAATATTATAAAAGGTACAAGATAATGTCTGACAAAATCTTGGTAACAATTATATTTTCTAGTCATCTTCTATGTTTCAAGGCATGTCGTGTCCAAATGCTACTAACAAAAGAAGACTGGCAAGGGCTAAGAATGTGAAGACAATTCATAATAAAAGAATTACCAGCATAATAACAGAACCTACCGAATGTGACTTTCATTGTTTCTCTGTACTTAAATACTAGCTGAGAATATATACAAATACTGGCTAAAACCCTATGTCATTAGTGTGGATGAAAACAAACATGGATTTTTATTGAAAGTGCCTCACAGGTTAAATCTTGAATCCTGATATCAGAAACCTTTTGCATAATGTAACTCCCTCTCACCCTGTTTCCATCTCTTTGTGTGAAAACTCTTATCTTTGCCTATTTGCATCTATTTGTTTGAAATCACTACCTTTTTTGTGTCCGGCTAGTTCAAGCAGAATAGACAGAATCTATCTGTACTGACACGTCAGCTCTCTCCAGCCAGGATTTGGTTTTATGTAAATAGTTCAACCATCATGTATGTAAATGTATGTAAAAACACAGGTATGAAGTAAAGACCGTCTTTTCTTTCTTTTCTCCTTTTCAGTCAGAAAGAATCTTCTTTAAAACAGAATTAAATCTGCATCTAAAGCTGCATAGAACAAGTGGTGAAGGTTTATGTAAATACTTTGTACCAGGTTGGGCAACAAAGGTGAACATCTGCCCACACACTATTCAATTCAATTCAATTCAATTCAATTCAATTCAATTCAATTCAATTCAATTTTATTTGTATAGCGTCAATTCATAACAGAAGTTATCTCAGGACACTTTTCAAATAGAGCAGGTCTAGACCGAACTCCTTATAACATTATTTACAGAGACCCAGAGAGGGACAGAGAGAGACAGAGAGAGAACAGAGATAAAGGTGCACAGCAACAACAGTAGCAACAACTACACTAATAGTAGTGACTGATGATGATGAACATGAAGAAGATGATGACGACGACGACAACGACGACAACGACAACAACGATGGGGGACAATGAGCAGCGATTACAGCAATAATAGTATCTGTAATAATAATAATAGTAATAATAATAATATTAATATCAGTGATATTAGCAATGGGAGTCAATGTGTGCAGAAAGAGAGGGAGAGGATGGGAGGAGCTCAGTGCATCATGGGAAATCCCCCGGTAGTCTAGGCCTATAGCAGCATAACTAAGGGGTGGTTCAGGACTCACCTGAGCCAGCCCTAACTATAAGCTTTATCAAGAGGAATGTGTTAAGCCTACTCCCAAATGTGGAGAGGGTGTCTGCCTCCCGAACAAAAAACACTAGTCTACAAAAGTATCTTATTGTAAGTGAAGTCTAAATGTATTCTTGAAATGTATTGTCTTAATGAATGTGTATTTTCTTATCTATTGTGTTGTATCTGGAGTTGCTGTAGCGAGGAAATTTCCCCAGTGTGGGATCAATAAAGTCTATCTAGTCTTATCTTATCCTGTCTTATGAAACCTCCAGATATAGATAATTCATATATTTCTGTGTAAATCAGTTGTAGCAAGTTCATATGTGGTCTGCAAGGAATCCAAATTATTGGCTGCAATACCAAAAGTGTAAGCATAAATTAACCATAATACTTACTCTACTGTACAAAGACACGTAATGGCTCATTCTAAGAACATAATGATGAATTTTAATTTTGGCATATTTTATTCCATTTCTGCCAAATAACTGGAGCTTTAATGACATACTGAAAGGAGTCAAATGTATAGTATAGTAGAGTATAATGTCTTCAGCATGAGCAGTAATAATAAAAAACTGACAAAGCACAGAAACAATGGAAACCAGAGCCACTAAAGAACAAACAAAAAGAAAGAAAAGGAGAGAGTCAAACGCTGAACAAACTTGGATTTCATTGTGTTGCACTCTCTGTGTCTCATATTTCCTGGTGTCCAATGGTAACTCACTGTAACCCAAGCTGCGTGGAGGCAGCACCATTATTTTTTCTAAAAGCACACAACTGCCAAGAGAACTAATCTCTGGTTTTCACTTTAGCCAAGCCATAGCTCATAAAATATAATGAACTCAAACAGGTTATGACATGCTCTTGCACAAATGTAGCTGCATAAGGTTCTAGGCTTTTTTTGATCACGCTACATTAATTGATTGCATATACTGTTTGTTGATTTACAGAAATCCGGACGTAACTGATTTGTTCACATCATCATGTGTACATCACATAACTTTGCAGTTTCTTTGTATATTTAAGCAAAAAAAAATAAAAATATTTTTCATCCTCCTTTATTTACTGCAGCTGAAACCCATGCTTTATGATAAAATTATAGCTAATTTCTCTGTAAAAAATCATCTGCTAGAGTTAAACAAACATACACACACAATCAACCACTGGGTTGTAGTGGAAAGATACAGAGTGCAGAGCAAACAACACCCTGTTTAGGCAAAAATAGAGAGCCTTGCTCTAAACACTAACAGGAATGTATTACACCACTCCCTATTTTTGTGGAATCTCCAGTCTTAACAAGTTGTTTCACTCAAAACCACAAATGTCAATCTCTGGGAGGTTCCCTGGGAGTCTTAACTGTCCAATGCTTCATCTGAACCAGTTCTACAAACATCCAATACTGACAGACTAGACAAGCATATAGACATTAGCGTGGCTAAAAACATCAAATCAGTATCAAACCATCAAATCAGGATATTCTTTACAAAAGAATGATGGTGGTGCAAACATGCAAACATTCTGTGCCAGTGAGTCATGGTGTCTCTTGACCACACCTCGTCTGTGCTTTTTCCTTCTTTGTACTGTACTAGAATCTGTCTTTCACTCTGACTGTCAAATGTTTCAGCACACAGCCACCAGTTTATGATAACCCACATTTGCAACACATTGCCTGTGCAGGCAGAGACAAGTAATTGAAATTGGGCTGAATAAATAATCACAACAATCAAGGAGTACATCAAATTCAATAGATCTAAATCAAATAGGAAAAAATAGATAATAGACTACGGTCTTAAATTAATAACTCAGTCATGGTTATTGCATGCAGTAGTTTGTTATACAGCCTTTAAGTTGTGTTTGTTTGACTGATCAGTATTTGCCCTGCAATAAATAAATGGTTGCGTGACTAAAAAAAAAAAACATTAGAAGAAAAAAAAAAAAATCAGAAAGAGGGGTGGAGGCATGGAAATAGGGTGTGTCAACCTCTATTTAAAAAGATTTGTGTCCGTGCTCTCTTCTCATATCCCTTTTATTCACCCTGTCGCTGTCTTTTTTTGGACAATTTTGGTAAGTGCAAATAAGTTATAAAATCCTTTTTTAAATGTAACATGAGATGTATGAATGAATTTCCTTCTGGGTGTGGTTTGTGTATTGCTGCGTCTGACAAGGATTAACATGTCCATCTAATATTACAACAATTCAATTTGGTGGGAATTCAGTACGTTAATATAATAAATAGATAAACACTGGACTACACAGTTAACAATATTTTCATGTTCCAGCCACGATGTCAAACCTTATGGATGCGATCGGAATGATCTACGCTATCTTCCATGAGCATGCTGGACCAGATAAAAAACTGAACAAGGCAGAAGTTGTTAAACTGGTCCGCAAAGAGCTTGGGAAAGGAGTAAGTAGAAAAGCTACAGTACTTTTACAACAGTGAGCTGCCTCTGTTTTAATGTTTTACAATCTACTTACAACTCTGTTTCTCTTTATGAAGGACTCTGGCAAAGCAGCGGAAAGTTTCTTCAAAACAATGGATGACGACAAGGATGGTTTTGTCGATTTCAATGAGTTTACTACTTTTGTTGCAGCCTCATGCATCCTCCTGAACGAATCACTGCGGTCAAGCCAGCCGTAACTTCGATCTCCGTGGTCAAACCAGCCGCACGTAAATTTCAAGTGTGCGATTATTCTCAGCATTACGGTAAATGCGAAGAAACAGTGCATTCTCTTCGGGTTTTCAAAATAAAGGTATTATGAATATTAAGGTGTAATTCGAACCTACATTTAAAATAAAATATGTTGCATTAAAGTTTTCCATGCGCCCATGATGAATAAAAAACACCTCGTATCGAGTATCTTTACTCTGCCAGTGTGGATAAATGTAAAAATAAAAATCCCATATTTATGCCTCCAGAGATTGCATATTTGACCATATTTGAGGTACTGTAAAAACATATTGCTCTATAATTCATAACTATGTATGATATATTTGACTTCCACACGTCTAAGACTACACACACACTCAATATCAAGCATTTTTACTGTAGCAATTTGGAGAAATTCAACAATAAAAGTCCTTATTTTTACCTCCAAGTGGCACACTTTACCATATTTGAGCTACTGTAAAATAATATTGCTCAATATTTCATGGCTATGGATGATGTACTTGACTTCTACACATCTAAGACTACACACACACTCAATATCAAGCATTTTTACTGTAGCAATTTGGAGAAATTCAACAATAAAAGTCCTTATTTTTACCTCCAAGTGGCACACTTTACCATATTTGAGCTACTGTAAAAACATATTGCTCAATATTTCATGGCTAAGGATGGTATATCTGACTTCTGCACATCTACGACTACACACACACTCAATATCAAGCACTTTTACTGCAGCAATTTGGAGAAATTCAACAATAAATGTCCTTATTTGTACCTCCAAGTGGCACATTTCACCCTATTTGAACTACTGTAAAATAATATTGCTCAATATTTCATGGCTATGGATGGTATATCTGACTTCTACACATCTAACACTACACATATACTCAATATCAAGCACTTTTACTGCAGCAATTTGGAGAAATTCAACAATAAAAGTCCATATGTTTACCTCCAAGTGGCATATTTGACCACATTTGAGCTAGTGTAAAATAATATTGCTCAATATTTCATGGCTATGGATGGTATATCTGACTTCTACACATCTAACACTACACACATACTCAATATCAAGCATTTTTACTGTAGCAATTTGGAGAAATTCAACTATAAAAGTCCTTATTTTTACCTCCAAGTGGCACACTTTACCATATTTGAGCTACTGTAAAATGATATTGCTCAATATTTCATGGCTATGGATGGTATATCTGACTTCTACACATCTAACACTACACATATACTCAATATCAAGCACTTTTACTGCAGCAATTTGGAGAAATGTAAGAACAAAAGTTCATATTTGTACCTCCAAGTGGCATATTTCACCATATTTGAGCTACTGTAAAATAATATTGCTCAATATTTCATGGCTAAGGATGGTATATCTGACTTCTACACATCTAAGACTACACATATACTCAATATCAAGCACTTTTACTGCAGCAATTTGGAGAAATTCAACAATAAAAGTCCATATGTGTACCTCCAAGTGGCATATTTGACCACATTTGAGCTACTGTAAAATAATATTGCTCAATATTTCATGGCTATCGATGATGTACTTGCCTTCTACACATCGAAGACTACACACACACTCAATATCAAGCATTTTTACTGTAGCAATTTGGAGAAATTCAACTATAAAAGTCCTTATTTTTACCTCCAAGTGGCACACTTTACCATATTTGAGCTACTGTAAAATGATATTGCTCAATATTTCATGGCTATGGATGGTATATCTGACTTCTACACATCTAACACTACACATATACTCAATATCAAGCACTTTTACTGCAGCAATTTGGAGAAATGTAAGAACAAAAGTTCATATTTGTACCTCCAAGTGGCATATTTCACCATATTTGAGCTACTGTAAAATAATATTGCTCAATATTTCATGGCTATGGATGGTATATCTGACTTCTACACATCTAAGACTAAACATATACTCAATATCAAGCACTTTTACTGTACCAATTTGGAGAAATCTAAGAACAAATGTCCATATTTGTACGTCCAAGTGGCATATTTCACAATACTTGAGCTACTGTAAAATAATATTGCTCAATATTTCATGGCTATGGATGGTGTACTTGACTTCTACACATCTGACACTGCACATATACTCAATATCAAACACTTTTACTGCAGCAATTTGGAGAAATTCAACAATAAAGGTACTTATTTTTACCTCCAAGTGGCACATTTCACCATATTTGAGCTACTGTAAAATAATATTGCTCAATATTTCATGGCTATGGATGGTGTACTTGACTTCTACACATCTAAGACTACACACACACTCAATATCAAGCACTTTTACTGTACCAATTTGGAGAAATCTAAGAACAAAAGTCCATATGTGTACCTCCAAATGGCATATTTGAGCTACTGTAAAATAATATTGCTCAATATTTCATGGCTATAGATGGTGTACTTGACTTCTACACATCTAAGACTACATTTGGAAATGTATATAGTCACACTTGTTTTAAGGAAATTCATAGAGTATTTTTAATTTTTCAGAAAAACATATATCATCTGAATGTCAACAAACTGTTTTTACTGTTGAGGTTCACAATGGGCCATTTTTTAAAGCAAAGTTATACTTTAAAAACATTGAAAAATAACATTAATTGGCCTAAATGAATTAAATACTATACGGGCCCTAACTTCATCACAGTTATGCCCCGTAGTATGTAACGCTAATTCAATGCTGTAAAATGCATTTAATTAGTGTGAAATGGTCATATCAACAAAGATGAGAGTGGTGGATAGCCACAGAACCAATTTGTTATTTTAAGGTAAGAAGTCAAAGGACCTTTGACAATGGCCATGCATGTTTGTTCATCATTAAAATGTGGCATCATTTCCCAAAGTTATGTAGCGTCTACCGACAAGTAAGCATTACATTCTTGATCCTAGTGGTTGCCTTATGTCTTATATTTCAATATTATATCATTACATTATAAACTACGCTTCGGCCTCATAAAGAAAACAATGTCTGACAAGGACGTCGATGACCTTGCAGAGTTTAAGCAATTTAAAAGCTAAGTAAAAAGTTCAAATTCAGAGTTTCTTCATAAAATAAAATAAAATAATTAGTAAAGCAATACTTACCCGCTCTTTCCAGGCATTTTCATGTAATAAACGTGTAATACACAAGCAGGTCAGTAAATTATCCGTTAGGACGTATCACTCTGTTTGTGTGATGTCTTCTCCAACAACAACCTGTCTCAAGGTATTATGGGGGATTTCTCGTGTAGGTGTGAAAAAACACCAAGATCTGTCGCTCCACTTGAAGTTAAAAATCATTACAGGTCTATCCAAACCTTTTATAATTAGCCCATCTTTGATAGGATGGCTTAAAAATAAATGTAATTTATTAACGATATCTGCAAGACATACTCAACTATATAAATAAAAGTTACTTTCTAAAGTTATGTATTTATCGAAAAACATTTTACTCTTGAAAGTATAAAATACAGATACAGTATACAGTATATCGGCCAGGAAATATTGAGCAATGTGTTTTTACAGTAGTTCAAACATGGGAAAATATGCTCTATATATCTAGATCTGTAGATAGAACTATGGGACTTTTATTGTTGAATTTCTCCAAATTGCTGCAGTAAAAGTGCTTGATATTGAGTATGTGTGTAGTCTTACATGTGCAGAAGTCAAATATACCATTCATAGCCATGAAATATTGAGCAATATTATTTTACAGTAGCTCAAATGTGGTCAAATGTGCCACTTGGAGGTATACATATGGACTTTTATTGTTGAATTTCTCCAAATTGCTGCAGTAAAAGTGCTTGATATTGAGTGTGTGTGTAGTCTAAGATGTGTAGAAGTCAAATACACCATCCATAGCCATGAAATATTGAGCAATATTATTTTACAGTAGCTCAAATGTGGTGAAATGTGCCACTTGGAAGTAAAAATAAATACATTTATTGTTGAATTTCTCCAAATTGCTGCAGTAAAAGTGCTTGATATTGAGTATGTGTGTAGTGTTAGATGTGTAGAAGTCAGATATACCATCCATAGCCATGAAATATTGAGCAATATTATTTTACAGTAGCTCAAATGTGGTCAAATATGCCACTTGGAGGTACACATATGGACTTTTATTGTTGAATTTCTCCAAATTGCTGCAGTAAAAGTGCTTGATATTGAGTATATGTGTAGTGTTAGATGTGTAGAAGTCAGATATACCATCCATAGCCATGAAATATTGAGCAATATTATTTTACAGTAGTTCAAATAGGGTGAAATGTGCCACTTGGAGGTACAAATATGGACATTTGTTCTTAGATTTCTCCAAATTGCTACAGTAAAAATGCTTGATATTGAGTGTGTGTGTAGTCTTAGATGTGTAGAAGTCAAGTACACCATCCATAGCCATGAAATATTGAGCAATATTATTTTACAGTAGCTCAAATATGGTGAAATGTGCCACTTGGAGGTAAAAATAAGTACCTTTATTGTTGAATTTCTCCAAATTGCTGCAGTAAAAGTGCTTGATATTGAGTGTGTGTGTAGTCTTAGATGTGTAGAAGTCAAGTACACCATCCATAGCCATGAAATATTGAGCAATATTATTTTACAGTAGCTCAAATATGGTGAAATGTGCCACTTGGAGGTAAAAATAAGGACTTTTATAATTGAATTTCTCCAAATTGCTGCAGTAAAAGTGCTTGATATTGAGTGTGTGTGTAGTCTTAGATGTGCAGAAGTCAGATATACCATCCTTAGCCATGAAATATTGAGCAATATTATTTTACAGTAGCTCAAATATGGTGAAATGTGCCACTTGGAGGTAAAAATAAGGACTTTTATTGTTGAATTTCTCCAAATTGCTGCAGTAAAAGTGCTTGATATTGAGTGTGTGTGTAGTCTTAGACGTGTGGAAGTCAAATATATCATACATAGTTATGAATTATAGAGCAATATGTTTTTACAGTACCTCAAATATGGTCAAATATGCAATCTCTGGAGGCATAAATATGGGATTTTTATTTTTACATTTATCCACACTGGCGCAGTAAAGATACTCGATACGAGGTGTTTTTTATTCATCATGGGCGCATGGAAAACTTTAATGCAACATATTTTATTTTAAATGTAGGTTCGAATTATACCTTAATATTCATAATACCTTTATTTTGAAAACCCGAAGTGAATGCACTGTTTCTTCGCATTTACCGTAATGCTGAGAATAATCGCACACTTGAAATTTACGTGCGGCTGGTTTGACCACGGAGATCGAAGTTACGGCTGGCTTGACCGCAGTAACGATTCGGCACAACAACAATAAAATTTTACAGTAACTTCTTGTTCTGTCATTTTACAAAGTATAACTGTACACCGCAATGCATCATGGGTCCAAAATAATTACAGTAGCTGACAGCATTTTCCCACAGTAACATCAGAGCCCGTCTACAGATCCTCTGGTAACATATTGTAAAATGACTGTAGATGATGCGTATTACAGTTAAATACTGTTGATATCTGTTCAAACACCGGCCACAAAGTCAGCTCTGTGGTGAGAACAATGTTTTATTTGTGTTATTGACTGTAATTACCCATTATTTTAGCGAAGCCGTGTTTTGAATCCGACGTTGACTGTCAGAAAGATTCAGTCTGTACCGTTTTGTTTTAGCAAATATTAACGTTAGCTAATTCAGCTGAAGCTAAAGCTAGCTAGCGTAACATGCATTAGTTACAACTAAAGTTACAATACAGTAGTTTAAAAAATGTCCTCATGGACCGAAAGCACTTTGTCCTATGTGCCGTTATCCACTGCTCCAAAGGTCCGTTGCTCCGAAAATACACACTCGGAGTTCAGTGACTGCCGGCTACTTTCCAGACTCCGCTAACATAATGCTCAATTTAACAGATAACTTATAAATCAAAACGTAAATCATAACGTCTGACTTTGTATGACTCATAAAGAAAGAGTTTTAATTTCGGCTGGATTTTAACTTTACCAGCTCTTCTGTCAACTAATGTTAAGTTAAATAAACTTCAGTGTAACTTAACATAGCGTTAATGTTTGAGGTTTGTGAAACATGGTGCCGAATTTATCATAAGAACTGTGTAAATTGTGAGAAGTCTGTTAAGTTAATTTTAATTTTTAATGACTGATGAAGAGGCAAATAAAGTATTAAACTGTTTCCCACTGTCGGAGGAAAAACCTCCGTTAACGTTGACACATTTTGCATCATTTAGCTAACGTTACAGGTGCAGAGGAAAGCACCACCGCTGAGGACTTCGATCTCCGTGGTCAAATCAGCCGCACGTAAATTTCAACTGTGCGAGTATTCTCAGCATTACGGTAAATGCGGAGAAACAGCGTATTCACTTCCGGGTTTCAAAATAAAGGTATTATGAACATTGAGCTATAATTCGAACCTACATTTAAAATAAAATATGTTGCATTAAAGTTTTCCATGCGCCCATGATGAATAAAAAACACCTAATATCGAGTATCTTTACTGCGCCAGTGTGGAGAAATGCCAAAATAAAAGTTCCATATTCATGCCCCCAGAGATTGCATATTTGACCATATTTGAGTTACTGTAAAAACATATTGCTCAATATTTCCTGGCTAAGGATGGTATATCTGACTTCTACACATCGAAGACTACAAGTATACTTAATATCAAGCATTTTTACTGCAGCAATTTGGAGAAATTTATGAACAAAAGTCCATATTTGTACCTCAAAGTGGTATATTTTCATATATTTGAGCTACTTTAAAAATATATTCCTCATTATTTCCTGGCTATGGATGATATATTTGACTTCTACACATCTAAGACTACAAGTATACTTAATATCAAGCATTTTTACTGCAGCAATGTGGAGAAATTTAAGAACAAAAGTCCATATTTGTTCCTCCAAGTGGCATATTTTCTCATATTTAAGCTACTGTAAAAACATATTACTCAATATTTCCTGGCTATGGATGATATATTTGACTTCTGCACATCTAAGACTACAAGTATACTTAATATCAAGCATTTTTACTGTACCAATTTGGAGAAATTAAAGAACAGAAGTCCCATATACCTCCAGATTCCATATTTTCTGATATTTGAGCTACTGTAAAATAATATTGCTCAATATTTCCTGGCTAAGGATGGTATATTTGACTTCTGCACATCTAAGACTACAAGTATACTTCATATCAAGCATTTTTACTCTACTAATTTGGAGAAATTTAAGAACAAAATTCCATATTTGTACCTCCAAGTGACATATTTTCATATATTTGAGCTACTGTAAAAAATATATTGCTTAATATTTCCTGGCTATGGATGGTATATTTGACTTTTACACATTTGAGACTACAAGCTGACTTGTTTCCTATAGCTTTCCTTAATCACATGTCTTCCTTGTGTCCCCTCTCAGCAAGTATTTGAGAGACAAATATGAGGAAGAGACAGTAGGTACAATGCACTCAGTAAGCATGTGTGAATAAAGAATAATTGAAAGGCTTTCAATGTAGCATACGTCATGCTTCTTGATAATAGACGTCCTCATTGGACATACTTGTGTTCTCTCACTATAAGCTCCTCCAGAAGAATCCTCTGTCCTCGTCTCAGTTACTGGAATATCTTCTGTGATGGCTAAGGTTGCCAGGTGACCAGGTGAAGAGGAGAGAGGAGGCAAACAAGTGCAAGTCAGCATGTATAAAAACACCCACAGACACACAGACACATCAAAGAGACAAACAGGAAGAGACTGACACACAGGGGAAGGGTAAAGACAGGAGAACATTGAGAAATGCATCCTTATGGTCATGGCTGCAACACATGACAATGGCAATACAGAATTTTATTTTAAGGAATAATAAAACTTTGATAATTTGGTTGAATCCTGCTTAAGGGATGATTTCTGAATTTGGTGTTTCGCAGTTAAAGGTAATTATTTCCCTTTTTACAGATTCACTGTGACAGCTGTTGCAGGTGGTTCCACGTACAATGCCTGCGAATGGACACAGAAGAGCTGCAAAATACCAAGAATATGGACTGGAATTTCATTTTGTGACAAAAGTAAACAAATTAGGATTGTGTAGAATTTTGAGTTTAGTGTTTAATTTTGGATGACTTTATCATCACTTTCTTATAACATGTTATTAAACATTTGTGTGAAATTTTGTCATGATTACTGCATCATTCTTGAAGTATAATGAAAAAGCATCACCCATAGCCAGGAATTATTGAGCGTTTTTACAGTCGCTCAAATATAGTCAAATATGCAATCTGCAGGTATAAATATGGGACTTTTATTATTGAATTACTTCACATTGGTGCAGTACAAATGCTTGATATTAAGTATGCTTGTAGTCTCATATGTGTCAAAGTCAAATATACCATCTATAGCCAGGAAATATTGAGCAAAGTGTTTCTACAGTAGCTCAAACATAAGAAAATATGCCACTTGGAGGTATACATATGGAATTTCATTGTTGAATTTCTCCACATTGGTATAGTAGAAATGCTTGATATTAAGCATACTTGTAGTCTCATATGTGTAGAAGTCAAATATACCATCCTTAGCCAGGAAATATTGAGCAATATTATTTTACAGTAGCTCAAATATATGAAAATATGTCTCTAGGAGGTACAAATATGGACTTTTGTCTTCAAATTTCTCTGAATTTCTGCTATACAAATGCTTGATATTGAGTGTGTGTGTAGTCTTACATGTGTAGAAGTCAAATATACCATCCTTAGCCAGGAAATAATGAGCAATAATATTTTATAGTAGCTCAAATATGAGAAAATATGCCACTTGGAGGTACACATATGGAATTTTGTTCTTAAATTTCTCCAAATTGCTGCAGTAAAAGTGCTTGATATTGAGTATACGTGTATTCTTAGATGTGTAGAAGTCAGATATACCATCCTTAGCCAGGAAATATTGAGCAATATTATTTTACAGTAGCTCAAATATGGTCAAATATGCCTCTTGGAGGTACACATATGGAAGTTTGTTCTTAAATTTCTCCAAATTGGTACAGTAAAAATGCTTGATATTAAGTATACTTGTAGTCTTAGACGTGTAGAAGTCAAATATATCATACATAGCCAGGAAATAATGAGCAATATGTTTTTACAGTAGCTCAAATATCGTCAAATATGCCACTTGGAGGTACAAATGTGGGACATTTATTCTTAAATTTCTCCACATTTCTGCAGTAAAAATGCTTGATATTAAGTATACTTGTAGTCTTAGATGTGTAGAAGTCAAATATATCATCCATAGCCAGGAAATAATGAGGAATATATTTTTAAAGTAGCTCAAATATATGAAAATATACCACTTTGAGGTACAAATATGGACTTTTGTTCATAAATTTCTCCAAATTGCTGCAGTAAAAATGCTTGATATTAAGTATACTTGTAGTCTTCGATGTGTAGAAGTCAGATATACCATCCTTAGCCAGGAAATATTGAGCAATATGTTTTTACAGTAACTCAAATATGGTCAAATATGCAATCTCTGGGGGCATAAATATGGGACTTTTATTTTGGCATTTCTCCACACTGGCCCTGTAAAGATACTCGATATTAGGTGTTTTTTATTCATCATGGGCGCATGGAAAACTTTAATGCAACATATTTTATTTTAAATGTAGGTTCGAATTATAGCTCAATGTTCATAATACCTTTATTTTGAAAACCGGAAAGGAATACGCTGTTTCTCCGCATTTACCGTAATGCTGAGAATACTCGCACAGGTGAAATTTACGTGCGGCTGATTTGACCACGGAGATCGAAGTCCTCAGCGGCTGGCTTGACCGCAGTCGCTGACTGCACAGTGATCATCACACATCGGTGAAGACGATTTTCAGGTAAAAACATTTCGTCATTTATGTGATTGTGTCTGACTGTGTAATCATTTTCTGCGGCATTTGACAGATTTGGGATTAAGCATGACCCCTATGCTAATTTATCAGCTTAGTTAGCTCAAGTAAACTACTTTTTATAGCCTTGCTGCACTCTGCAGAACAGTTGGGGTGTGGGTAGTAGTTTTGGTGCCTAACCCTAACCAAGTAGTTTCTGGCGGTATGTTATGATGCCTTTGGCTTTTACAGGTATGATCTTGTTACCCTCAACTGTTGAGCTGAGGGCAATGACTATGTCAATTTTGAATGTATTTTTTCTTTGTCTTTGAGGTGTTAGCAAGAGCAGCTGACATCAAAAGAACACTACTGCTTCCTGACTCTCCGAGACTAATTGTCTTAGGTAGTGTGTACCGTTTGTTTTTTTTAAATCTGTTGTAAAGCATTGCAAAGACTGAGAATATATGAAGGACACGTATTAGTTCAACAGTTTAACATGTGGATATGTTTATGTGGAAGGCAACAGATAAAACATTAACATATAAACCATATGTTTATTTATGTTTAGGTGAAGTGCTCACAGCAACTCAATGGATGCTGAGCATCGAGGGTCAAGTGGTTGTGCCTCCACATCCCAACTTCGTGGCTGGAATGGCAGCATTCTTTTCAAGCTATTACAACTTGAATCTGGTGTACAAGGAGCAAGCAGTCGGGAAATCTCCAACCAGAGTACCTGCTGCCTGACGCTATGTTGATGCAATTATATTACTACTGGTCAGTAACTCATACAATCTTTTGACAAGAACTCCAAACTATCCCTTTAACCGTTATGACATTTTCACTGTATTAGTCATTGCATTGTAGAGCCACTTCCTGGTTCAGCTTGCCTGGACAGCACAACTGAAATGATAATGAAAATTTATTAACAGCCTAATTTTAGTTTTTTCATGTTTTGCAGTTTTTCATATTGGATGGGCAAATGATTAGCTTGTCTTGAACAACCTGATATTCTGCTCTTTCTTGTGGAGCAGCTGTGAGCGCAGTTTTTTCATGAAGTTTCTTTTCATGTGATTTTGTGATTTCAGATGTTTCATTGGACTCAACCTCATCAGTGGCACCAAGACGACAAAGCTGGTCAGCCAAGGAAGTGGGAAGATGCATGAGAAGAAGAACAGCTCAGTCAATCCTCACGTCTCCTCTCTCCTCCGGCGATTAATGGACTTTGAATGGCTTTGAGCATAAGTCATATGCAAAAGATGAGGATTCTTGTCTTCCCCGCTATATGAGTGGACATTGTTCTTAAAGGGAAATTTCTCTATCTATCCGAGTTAGGGATATAGTGTGAATAACGGATTTAGCCGGCGCAGCTGCAAAATCTGTTGTTCTTCCGGCACCAGCCCCAGAGATATGGAGAACATCAGCAACAACAGCAGGCGTTTTTCAGACTATATCCCTAACTTGGATAGATAGAGTTAAAGGGATAGTTCAGGTTTTTTGAAGTGGGGTCATATGAAGTACTTATCTATAGTCGGTGTGTTAGCTACATTAGCTGCTGCTCAGCGAATTTTAACCACCTAAAACAATCTATATCAGTTCTAGTGTACGTTGTATAGAGAAAATTCACACCGCTTTACATCTCCGTCAGACGGCCCTTTCCTTTGGTACTACATTTCTCAACCGTATAACTCACGTATTCCTACGCATACGGCGTAATACAGTGCGGCCGCAGCGGGCAAAGTTGTGCTTATGCGAAGGAATACGTGAGTTATACGGTATAAGGGCCGTCTGACAGCGATGTAAAGCGGTGTGAATTTTCTCTATGTAACATACACTTGGAACTGATATAGATTTTAGGTGGGTCTTGTTTTAGGTGGTTAAAATTCGCTTTGCATCTGGATTCCGTTCACTGCAGTGCAAAGCTGACCTATTCGCTATCTGGTGGACAGTTAGATGAGAAGATCGATACCATGTCCATTAAAGGCACATAACGCACAGTAAAAAGGTTAAAAAGTGAGATTTAAAGGTGCTAGTTGGCAGATTTTGTTACTTTTGGACCAAGCCAGGCTAGCTGTTTCCCCATTTCCAGTCTGTGCTTAATTAGGCTAACCAGTTTCTGTCTGAAGCCTTTTATTTAACAGGCAGATATGATTTATGGGGATTCGAATTGAGTTCTGAAGGCATGTTGTAAAACTATTGAGTTTTAATAAAAGATGTTTTGTTGCAGCTCAGACTTTTATTTAACAGGTGAAGAAAATCTAATGTTAATGAATTTTGGAGTAACAGCAAGCCTGGTCTCATTCAATATGCATATTTTGCAAAGCTGCTAATGTAAGAAACAAAGATTAACTGTAAAAACATTCTACAACAACATATTGTATTGTGAAGTATTAACAGCTATTTACTGGCAATTTTAGTTGCCAGGTAACCTCTGTAATTTGAATAGAATACAAGATAATGTTGTAAACTAGATTAAAATTAATAGTTGAAAAAAAAACTACAACAAATTGCTGTAATTTATATACAAAAACCTGTAAAAGTTATCCTGTAATATACTGTAATCCTTTTTACAGTAATTAACAGCAATTTTACAATACTTTACTGGCAACTTTTTTTGCCAGGTATTTACTGTAAATTCTACAGTCAATTTGTTACAGTGTAATATTTCAGGAATAAATGCTTTGGCCAAATTACCTAAGAATTTTTTCTTGCCTCTTGTCTTACCTTATTTCATTTGTAATACATTGAAAAAAGTGGAGGGCTCCAACTTGCATCAGTATTACAGCCATATCTATAAAATGTAAATGTCATTATCCTGTGTTCTGAGAAGGAAACCCATCTCATAGTTATGTTCACTATTATGTCACTGATTGAATGCTTCACACATAGAACAAGAAATAACACGGTAACACTTTACAATAACAACAAGTGAGGAATAAATGAGGAAACTAGCTAATGATTAGTCCATTAAAGACGAGCGAGGAACAAATCAGGTACAATTTGATAATTAATGAATTGTTAATGAGTAGTTCCCTAATAATTCCTAAGGGAGGAATATATAGTAGAGAATGATAATATAAATGTTGATCTTTAACAATGAAGCAGCCGCTTTTATGTTTTAAAGGCATGTCTGCTCGTTCAGCTTGCACATGTAAGAAGTCAGTCAATCATCACTGTATGTATATGACAATATTACCATAGAAGATAACAAACAACACATTTTTATAGTTTATATAGAATAAGTACATAATTTTGTTAAACTATGGTAGTGACAGTTTAAAAAAAGAAAGAAAAGAAAACCATGACAGAGATGGGTTGGCCTTTTTAAGGGCATTATAGAACTATTTCCAAGGGGACAATTTGAATTCACAGATATTCATGAACTAAACATTACCTCAAGATTCATAAATATGATCTCCCAATCTGTTCGATAGTAATTCATCATTCTCTACTATATAGTCATCCATTAGGAATTATTAGGGAACTACTTATTAACAATTCATCAATTACCAAGTGACTAATCACTAATCATTAGCTACTCTATAAAATTAGATTTTTTATTTTTTTTATTTTGACCACTAACTAGTGGTTCACTATGATTAGTTCCTCATTCATCCATCATTTGTTCTACACAAACTTTTGTGTCCCTTATTGTTACATTTGTTAAGAATCATTGTGAAAGTAGGTTTAGTAAATGTTTGATTGACCTTGTAATTAACTGTATAATCCATAAGGACTCTATCACAAATAGCTGTGCTGCACCATGGGAACTCACAAAACACAACTTTTATGTACATCGGTCTACCATGCAGTCCAACAACACCGGTTCCTAGAATTTTTTAATCTGTGGGAAAATCCTGACTAGGAAAGGATCAATTATCACAACCATTCTGAAAGCATTACACTGTTTTAAATAGCTGATGTACTCAGCAGACAATTTTCAGTAGATGTTGGTATGTTTGTGGAGGTAGGCATCATATGACCGCAAACATTCTGTGCCAGTGAGTCATGGTGTCTTTTGACCACACCTCATCTATGCTTTTTCCTTCTTTGTACTGTACTGGAATCTGTCTTTAATGAATACCATCCCTTCATTCTGACTGTCAAATGTTTCAGCACACAGCCACCAGTTTATGATAACCCACATTTGCAACACATTGCCTGTGCAGGCAGAGACAAGTTGTTGAGATTCTCGCTCACCAACGACAAGTATGTCGTATAATTTCTTCATAATAATTTGTAATCTTCTCCTCCTATATTCTGCTAAATATAAGAGCTGTATTGTAAGCCATGAAGCGACAGAGTTGGACTCACATGAAGTAGTAGAAGAAACTCATACAGAAAGACATACACATTGTGGGCAGAAACAGTTTACTGACAGTGCAAGCACCTTGTCCTTTTACTTAAAATGAGTAAACCACAATGGAAATCCATAACAAATAAAAGTTACTTGTGGCAAAATTTGCATATATCTTAAAAATACACCATTAACAATAATCCCATTTAATATATACTGACACATACATTACATGTGTTACCAAGCGTCTTGCATGGAGGTGTTTAAAATATTTATAAAGTAATATATTAAGTGACATTTGACTGGACAATAAAAACATGGATTAATAAGAGAAATTGGGCTGTTTAAATAATCACAAAAATCAAGGAGTACATCATATTCAATAGATCTAAATCAAATAGGAAAAAATAAATAAGGCATGGAAATAGGGTGTGTCAACTTCTATTTAAAAAGATTTGTGTCTGTGCTCTCTTCTCATATCCCTTTTATTCACCCTCTCAAAGTCTTTTTTGGACAAAGTGCAAATATGTTTCAAATCCTTTTTTAAATGCAACATGAGATGTATGAATAAATTTCCTTCTGGGTGTGGTTTGTGTATTGCTGCATCTGACAAGGATTAACATGTCCATTTTAGATTACAACAATTAAATTTGGTGGGAATTCAGTACGTTAATATAATAAATAGATAAACACTGGACTACACAGTTAACAATATTTTCATGTTCCAGTGCACCCACCCTCTCTACTGCACATCTAGGGATAAATGGCTTTAAAATCATATCATATCATATATTATGCAACATGTTCACAGAGATGACATCATTCTGGGACTCATCTCATAGTTAAACGTTCACTATTATGTCACTGTTTGAATGCTTCACACATAGAACAAGAAATAACACGATAACACTTTACAATAACAACAACAAGGGAGGAATGAATGAGGAAACTAGCTAATGATTAGTCCTTTAAAAAGAAAGAGCGAGGAACAAATCAGGTACAACTTCATAATTAATGAATTTGTCATGGCTCTGCTCCCCTCCTGCTCCCTTTGCTCCTCCTCCTTCCCTGTGTGTCTGATGAGGGTGAGGCGTCCATTCTCCTCACCTGCTGTCTGCCGTCTCACCTGCTCTCAATCATTCATCATGCCTCGGTCTTCAAGAACCCCGGTCTTCCTCCCATTCATCGCCAGATTGTTTCAGCCTATAATTGTAACTCTCATGGCTCCCTTCAGTATTTAGTTAAGCAATTCAAGCTCTCTTGTGATTTTCCCTGTGCCTGTTCCCCAGCTAACCATTTCTCTCCCGTGCCCCAGGGTCCCTTTGTGCAGTTTTGCTTCCTGTGTCTGTGTCTTTCACCATTTCACCCGCCCGTTCCTGCTGTGGCCGCCCCTCATCCCCCCTGTGTGTGTGTGTGCGCGTGGAATAAAACCCCTTTAACCTTCCAAACTGTCTGGGTGTCTGCTCCTGGGTCCAGTCCTAACACCAGCCGTGACAGAATTGTTAATGAGTAGTTCCCTAATAATTCCTAAGGGAGGAATATATAGTAGAGAATGATAATATAAATGTTGATCTTTAACAATGAAGCAGCCGCTTTTATGTTTTAAAGGCATGTCTTCTCGTTCAGCTTGCACATGTCAGAAGTCAGTCAATCATCACTGCATGTATATGACAATATTACCATAGAAGATAACAAACAACACATTTTTACATAATTTTGTTAAACTATGGTAGTGACAGTTTAAAAAAAGAAAGAAAAGAAAACCATGACAGAGATGGCTTGGCCTTTTTAAGGGCATTATAGAACTATTTCCAAGGGGACAATTTGAATTCACAGATATTCATTAACTAATCATTACCCCAAGATTCATTAATCCCCCAATCTGTTCTGTAGTAATTCGTCATTATCTACTATATAGTCATCCATTAGTAATTATTAGGGAACTACTCAGTAACAATTCATCAATTATCAAGTTGTACCTGATTCGTTCCCCACTTGTTTCTTAATTGACTAATCATTACTCTATAAAATTTTATTAGGAGTTACTCATTGACAAATGGTTCACTAACAGTTAGTTCCTCATTCATCCGGCATTTGTTCTATTCAGATTTTTGTGTCCCTTATTGTTAAGTGTTACTGATAACACTGAGGGAGATGCAAACAGCTATGAAGCCGCAATGTTGCCAATAAAAAGCATACAACTATACTGGCTTAAGAATGTATAAAATATATCTCCAAAACAAATAAGCAGCTCATCCCATTTCCAAAACTGAAATCTTAAAATAAGCTTGAGGCAACTGCTGGTAAAAATGTGTGTGTGTGCGTGTGTGTGCTGTGTTCACATACCAGTACGTACTACCGGTTATCCACTGTAGATTCTCTATACAGCCTTTCCAATGCTGCCCTCTTGTGTTTTGATTTTTCACTCTGACATTTCCATGTAATTTATTTCCCTGTGGTCTTGGGGCGGGACTCAATTAGCCTCATAAACAAAGGTGATGAACACTATTTGCTAAATGTTCTTAAAGGTGAAGAAAGACTTATTATATGCACCAATTAAGCCTGTAGAAAACTTGAGAGGTAGATCCAAAACACAAACCAGAGCCCAAAGCATCATAGATCAAGAAGGACAAAACAGGAACCATGGCTGGTCTAACCTGTTAGGGAACACCTAATGACCCCCCGACCCCGCACTGCAACATTTCTTTTGGTTTAAAATCTTTATCTGCAAATAAACTAGTAACTACAACTGCAAGATAAAAGCAGTGGTGTGGAAAGCTACATTTCCAACAAAAATAATAAGAATAAGAACAGTGCTCTAATTGTAGTACAAAGAATTATTTATAAATTTCTCAAACTGCTAGATATGAAAATTAGCTTGAAAAGGAGGGAAAGCAGGAAAGTCAACATTCCAACATTGTCATTGCGACATTTACGTTTTACTGGAGGGAGGAAACACAGAAATAAGAATAAAGACAGAAAAAGGGGTGGGGGCTTTTAAATAAGGTGTGTCAACCTCTATTTAAAAAGCTTTGTGTCAATGCTCTCTTCATTAAAATCCTCTCTTCCACTCTCTCAACATTTGCACCTTTTTATCCATATTCGGTAAGTAGAAATTTGGTCGTAAATCCTTTTTAAAACACAGCATTTTACATTTGCAATAGTTAATACCTAATATGTAGCATTATCTGGCATGAGATCATTGAGATGCAAGAATGAGCTTCTACATGTAGTTTGTGTATTGTGTGGTGCACTGCATCTGAATAGAATTAACATGTCAATCTATGGTGAGATTATAATAATTACAATTTGAAAATTATGATAGATAACTGGATATTATAAGACAAAAATCATAATATTGGTGAAAATTCAGTAAATTAAGAATTTCAGAGAGAAAACCCCATAAAATGAATGAAAAGATGATTATTTAGTGGGTGGGAAAACAGAGAGGAACTGTAAATTAGTAAGTGTGAAAAGTGTGTGATATCATGAAGCCAAATACATTAGAAGAAACAAACAGTAGGCAAGGAGCGTTCAGATGCTGAATTGTTTGATTAAAAACAGACTTTCCTGCCACACCAAACTACCAATTTGAGATAACAAGGGAACAAGAGAGAAAGACTTGAAAACGAAATTAGCTGCAGAGTTCAATCCTTGTGTTTGGATGTAGCATGAAGCATTATCACAGTTGTGTAAAATGAATATATCAACAAACACTGAACTATATAGTCAACAATATTTTCTTATTCCAGCCACCATGTCAGATATCGTGCAAGCAATGGTTCTCCTTAGGGATACCTTTGAGAGGTACGCTAAAAGAGATGGCGACAAAGACACTTTGACCAAGTCAGAACTCACTAAACTGTTCCGAACCGAGTTCCCTGGAACAGGAGTAAGTAGAAAAGCTACAGCACTATTACCACAGTGAGCTGCCTCTTTGTCTATTTGATGTTTTACAATCTATTTACTACTCATACTGTTTTATTCTTTTTTTAGCACAGAGACGAAGCTGCACTGGACGATTTCTTCAGTGAGCTGGATAGCAACGGGGATGGTGTTGTTGATTTCACTGAGTTTGTTACTTTGCTAGCAACCCTCGCTGAGCTTTACACTGAGTATTAAATAAATACTTTTGCCACAGTGCCTCTGAACTTTCTTGCCTTATTTCATTTGTACTGAATAAAAAAAACGAGTGCCCCAACGTCCGCCAGTACAGCCAAATCTATAAAATATACATGTCAGTATCAGATGTTCTCAGAAGGAAAACTTGGGAAAACACACACAATAATCAGCGATGGGTATGTTGGCTTGATTGACTCGAACTGTGCTGGCCGTAAATGTTTATTACTAATTACGAATGTCAGAAGTGACTAATAAAGAAATAAAAAATAAATGTTACTGCATTTTTATATCATAACTGTTTTGTGTGTGTTCATAAACGAAATACAATATTATGCAAACTCAGCATTTTCCACTGCACATCGAGGCAGAAATGCCTTTAAAATCCTCCTTTCAGCCTTTTTACATAACATGTTCACAAATAACATGTTCATCATTCTGGCACCCATCTCTTAGTTAAACATTCACTGTTATGTCACAGTTTGGATAATGTACACACAAAAGAGGGAGTAAGACTGAGGGAGATGCAAACAGCTTCATATCTAAAATGTGTTCCATAAAAAGCTTACAACTAGACTGGCTTAAAGGTCCACTGTCTAACATTTAGGAGAATCTATTGGCAAAAACGGAATATACTATTCTTGTTGTCATTTGTGTATAATAACTTGAATATGGGAATTGGTGTGTTTTCATTACCTCAGAATGAATCATTTAATCTACAGATGCTGTGGGTTGCCTTTTAATGGAGTCCGCCACATTGAACCACCATGTTTCTACAGTAGTCTGGAATGGACAGACCAAACCCTGGCTGTAAATAGGGCCTTCCGCCTTTTTCGTAACCATAATAGTTTCTCCTACAGCCTGCTCTTATTCCCAGGTTGTCAAATACTGACACCAGTGGTGTTGGGTTATTTGCAATGTGCAACTTGACCACTATGGGTCACTAAATTCTACACACTGGTCCTTAAAGTATGTAAAAAATACATCTGCAAACCAATAAGCAGTTTATTCCATCTCAAAAAAACGTTATTGTCAGGTGCATGTTGGTAAGGATTTATGTGTGTGTGTGTGTGTGTGTGTGTGTGTGTGTGTGTGTGTGTGTGTGTGTGTGTGTGTGTGCTGTGTTCACATACCAGTATGTACTACAGGTTATCCACTGTATATGCTTTATACAGCCTTTCCAATGCTTCTTGTGTTTTGATTTTTCCATGTCATTTATTTCCCTGTGGTCTTGGAGCTGGAATCAAATGAGCCTATTAAACAAAGGTGATGAACAACATTTGCCAAAGGTTCATAAAGGAGAAGAAGGACTTATTTTATGCATTAAGTTAGCCTGTTGAACACTTTAATGAGAGGTAAATCCAAAACAGAAACTACAAAGAGGTTTCCAAAGCCTCATAGCTCAAGGAAAAAAACAGGAACCATGGCTGGCCGAACCTGTTAGGGAACACCTAATCACCCCCGACCTACTTCCCTCTGCAATCTTTTTGAGCCCTGTCACTTCCTTCTCGAGGCAGCTTAATTGATTCCCCAAATGCCCAGAAGCCAACAAGTTAAAATCAACTCCTATTCTGGAATATAACTGGGTTTATTTGAAATAGCTGATATAAATGTAATTACTGTTAATACAGCTTATTCAGGAACATGTGAATGACATTCAAGCAAAAACTAGATTTTCTTTGAAGACAGGGCTTCAAGATTAGGTAAAAACACACTACTTATTAGCTTTGTAAATGGATGGCAGCATCATCTTTAGTTACTTAATTTAGTAACACAACTTTAAATCAACAAAGCCTGACTTAACAATGTGATGTGACGAAATTGCTCTATCTTGCAAATGTATATTCATTTTAATCTCATGCACTGCAAAACTTATTTTGGTTTAAAAGCTTTATCTGCAAATAAGCTTGAAACTACAGCTGTAAGATAAAAGCAGTGGTGTAAAAAGCTCCCATCCAAAATAATAACAATTACAGTACCATGAATTGTAGTCAGGTATAGTTCTTATAACAATATGGTCCAACTGAGCTGTGTATATGCTGCATAATATTAATGTTAATAATATTAACGCATTATGTGTCATTATCTGTGGTATGCCTGTCAGAGTTACTGATCGGCCTTCCACTCACATGTCATGTCATCTGTTTGCAGGACCATCCTTATAAGTATATTTACATGCAGGTGTGCAAATATTTACTTGTAGTTTTTGTCAAACTGCTAGATATTAAAAGTTGCTTATATGTGCGGGAAAGCAGGAAAGTCAACATTCAAACATTGTCATGGTGACATTTAAGTTTTACTGGAGGGAATAAAGACAAAAATAAGAAAAAATACAGAAAGAGGGGTGGGGGCTTTTAAATAAGGTGTGTCGACCTCTATTTAAAAAGCTTTGTGTCAATGCTCTTTTCATTAAAATCCTCTCTTCCACTCTCTCAACATTGGACGTTTATATCCATATTCGGTAAGTAGAAATTTGTTTGTAAATCCTTTTTAAAATACAGCATTTTACATTTGCAATAATTAATACCTAATATGTAGCATTATCTGGCATAAGATCATTGATATTTATGAATGAGCTTCTAGATGTGGTTTGTGTATTGTGTGGTGTGCTGCATCTGAATAGAATTAACATGTCAATCTATGGTGAGATTCTAATAATTACAATTTGAAAATTTTGATAGATAAGTGGATATTATAAGACAAAAATGATGATATTGGTGAAAATTTTGTAAATTAAGGTTACGAAGGTTTTCATGGGGAAAACTCGATAAAAGAAAAGAAAAGTTTTTTAAAAAGATGATTATTTAGTGGGTGGGAAAACTGAGAGGAACTGTAAATTAGTGAGTGTGGACAGTGTGTGATATCATGAAGCCAAATACATTAGAAGAAACAAACAGTAGGCAAGGAGCGTTCAGATGCTGAATTGTTTTAATAAATACAGACTTTCCTGCCACACCAAACTACCAATTTGTTTCTCAGTTGCACCACCAATATTTGATCATGTCTCTTCTTTAAAACCAATGGTCACTATGAATTTAGTATTTACCCCTGAGGGACAGAGAAGGGATACCAAGAAAACAAGAGAGAAAGACTTGAAAACGAAATAAGCTGCAGTGTTCAAACCATGTGTTTAGATGTAGCATGAAGCATTACTACAGTTGTGTAAAATGAGTAAATCAACAAACACTGAACTATATAGTCAACAATATTTTCTTATTCCAGCCACCATGTCAGACATCGTGCACGCAATGGTTCTCCTTAGGGATACCTTTGAGAGGTACGCTAAAAGAGATGGAGGCAAAGACACTTTGACCAAGTCAGAACTCACTAAACTGTTCCGAACCGAGTTCCCTGGAACAGGAGTAAGTAGAAAAGCTACAACACTATTACCACAGGGAGCTGCCTCTTTGTCTATTTGATGTTTTACAATCTACTTACAACTCATACTGTTTTATTCTTTTTTTAGCACAGAGACAAAGCTGCACTGGACGATTTCTTCAGTGAGCTGGATAGCAACGGGGATGGTGTTGTTGATTTCACTGAGTTTGTTACTTTGCTAGCAACCCTAGCTGAGCTTTACACTGAGTATTAAATAAATACTTTTGCCACAGTGCCTCTGAACTTTCTTGCCTTATTTCATTTGTACTGAATAAAAAAACCTACTGCCCCAACGTCCGCCAGTACAGCCAAATCTATAAAATATACATGTCAGTATCAGATGTTCTCAGAAGGAAAACTTGGGAAAACACACACAATAATCAGCGATGGGTATGTTGGCTTGATTAACTCGAACTGTGCTGGCCGTAAATGTTTATTACTAATTACGAATGTCAGAAGTGACTAATAAAGAAATAAAAATTAATGTTGCTGCATTTTTATATCATAACTGTTTTGTGTGTGTTCATAAACGAAATACAATATTATGCAAACTCAGCATTTTCCACTGCACATCGAGGCAGAAATGCCTTTAAAATCCTCCTTTCAGCCTTTTTACATAACATGTTCACAAATAACATGTTCATCATTCTGGCACCCATCTCTTAGTTAAACATTCACTGTTATGTCACAGTTTGGATAATGTACACACAGAACAGGAAGTAACACTGAGGGAGATGCAAACAGCTTCATATCTAAAATGTGTTCCATAAAAAGCTTACAACTAGACTGGCTTAAAGGTCCACTGTCTAACATTTAGGAGAATCTATTGGCAAAAACGGAATATACTATTCTTGTTGTCATTTGTGTATAATAACTTGAATATGGGAATTGGTGTGTTTTCATTACCTCAGAATGAATCATTTAATCTACAGATGCTGTGGGTTGCCTTTTAATGGAGTCCGCCACATTGAACCACCATGTTTCTACAGTAGTCTGGAATGGACAGACCAAACACTGGCTGTAAATAGGGCCTTCCGCCTTTTTCGTAACCATAATAGTTTCTCCTACAGCCTGCTCTCATTCCCAGGTTGTCAAATACTGACACCAGTGGTGTTGGGTTATTTGCAATGTGCAACTTGACCACTATGGGTCACTAAATTCTACACACTGGTCTTTAAAGTATGTATACATCTGCAAACCAATAAGCAGTTTATTCCATCTCCAAAAACAGATATATCTTAAAATAATCGTCAGGTGCATGTTGGTAAGGATTTATATGTGTGTGTGTGTGTGTGTGTGTGTGTGCTGTGTTCACATACCAGTACGTACTGCCGGTTATCCACTGTAGATGCTTTATACAGCCTTTCCAATGCTGCCCTCTTGTGTTTTTTTTTTTCACTCTGACGTTGTAATGTCATTTATTTCCCTGTGGTCTTGGGGCGGGACTCAATTAGCCTCATAAACAAAGGTGATGAACACTATTTGCTAAATGTTCTTAAAGGTGAAGAAAGACTTATTCTATGCACCAATTAAGCCTTTAGAAAACTTGAATAAGAGGTGGATCCAAAACACAAACTAAAAACAGGAGCCCAAAGCGTCATAGCTCAAGAAGGACAAAACAGGAACCATGGCCGGTCTAACCTGTTAGGCAACACCTAATGACCCCCCGACCCCGCACTGCAACATTTCTTTTGGTTTAAAATCTTTGTCTGCAAATAAACTAGTAACTACAGCTGCAAGATAAAAGCAGTGGTGTAAAAAACTATATTTCCAACAAAAATAATAAGAATAACAGTGCCCTAATTGTAGTACAAAGAATTATTTATAAATTTCTCAAACTGCTAGATATGAAAATTAGCTTGAATAGGAGGGAAAGCAGGAAAGTCAACATTCCAACATTGTCATTGCGACATTTACGTTTTACTGGAGGGAGGAAACACAGAAATAAGAAAAAAGACAGAAAGAGGGGTGGGGGCTTTTAAATGAAGTGTGTCAACCTCTATTTAAAAAGCTTTGTGTCAATGCTCTCTTCATTAAAATCCTCTCTTCCACTCTCTCAACATTTGCACCTTTTTATCCATATTCGGTAAGTAGAAATTTGGTTGTAAATCCTTTTTAAAATACAGCATTTTACATTTGAAATAGTTAATACCTAACATGTAGCATTATCTGGCATAAGATCATTGAGATGCATGAATGAGCTTCTAGATGTGGTTTGTGTATTGTGTGGTGCGCTGCATCTGAATAGAATTAACATGTCAATCTATGGTGAGATTATAATAATTACAATTTGAAAATTATGATAGATGGATATTATAAGACAAAAATCATGATATTGGTGAAAATTCAGTAAATTAAGAATTTCAGGGAGAAAACCATATAAAATGAATGAAAAGATGATTATTTAGTGGGTGGGAAAACAGAGAGGAACTGTAAATTAGTGAGTGTGGACAGTGTGTGATATCATGAAGCCAAATACATTAGAAGAAACAAAGAGTAGGCAAGGAGCGTTCAGATGCAGAATTGTTTTAATAAATACAGACTTTCCTGCCACACCAAACTACCAATTTGTTTCTCAGTTGCACCACCAATATTTGATCATGTCTCTTCTTTAAAACCAATGGTCACTATGAATTTAGTATTTACCCCTGAGGGACAGAGAAGGGATAACAAGAAAACAAGAGAGAAAGACTTGAAAACGAAATAAGCTGCAGTGTTCAAACCATGTGTTTAGATGTAGCATGAAGCATTACTACAGTTGTGTAAAATGAGTAAATCAACAAACACTGAACTATATAGTCAACAATATTTTCTTATTCCAGCTACCATGTCAGACATCGTGCATGCAATGGTTCTCCTTAGGGATACCTTTGAGAGGTACGCTAAAAGAGATGGAGACAAAGACACTTTGACCAAGTCAGAACTCACTAAACTGTTCCGAACCGAGTTCCCTGGAACAGGAGTAAGTAGAAAAGCTACAGCACTTTTACCACAGTGAGCTGCCTCTTTGTCTATTTGATGTTTTACAATCTACTTACTACTCATACTGTTTTATTCTTTTTTTAGCACAGAGACGAAGCTGCACTGGACGATTTCTTCAGTGAGCTGGATAGCAACGGGGATGGTGTTGTTGATTTCACTGAGTTTGTTACTTTGCTAGCAACCCTAGCTGAGCTTTACACTGAGTATTAAATAAATACTTTTGCCACAGTGCCTCTGAACTTTCTTGCCTTATTTCATTTGTACTGAATAAAAGCCAAATCTATAAAATATACATGTCAGTATCAGATGTTCTCAGAAGGAAAACTTGGGAAAACACACACAATAATCAGCGATGGGTATGTTGGCTTGATTGACTCGAAATGTGCTGGCCGTAAATGTTTATTACTAATTACGAATGTCAGAAGTGACTAATAAAGAAATAAAAAATAAATGTTGCTGCATTTTTATATCATAACTGTTTTGTATGTGTTCATAAACGAAAATACAATATTATGCAAACTCAGCATTTTCCACTGCACATCGAGGCAGAAATGCCTTTAAAATCCTCCTTTCAGCCTTTTTACATAACATGTTCACAAATAACATGTTCATCATTCTGGCACCCATCTCTTAGTTAAACATTCACTGTTATGTCACAGTTTGGATAATGTACACACAGAAGAGGGAGTAACACTGAGGGAGATGCAAACAGCTTCATATCTAAAATGTGTTCCATAAAAAGCTTACAACTAGACTGGCTTAAAGGTCCACTGTCTAACATTTAGGAGAATCTATTGGCAAAAACGGAATATACTATTCTTGTTGTCATTTGTGTATAATAACTTGAATATGGGAATTGGTGTGTTTTCATTACCTCAGAATGAATCATTTAATCTACAGATGCTGTGGGTTGCCTTTTAATGGAGTCCGCCACATTGAACCACCATGTTTCTACAGTAGTCTGGAATGGACAGACCAAACACTGGCTGTAAATAGGGCCTTCCGCCTTTTTCGTAACCACCATACTTTCTCCTACAGACTTTACAGCCTGTTCTCATTCCCAGGTTGTCAAATACTGACACCAGTGGTGTTGGGTTATTTGCAATGTGCAACTTGACCACTAGGGGTCGGTAAATTCTACACACTAGTTATTAAAGTATGTATAAAATACATCTGCAAACCAATAAGCAGTTTATTCCATCTCAAAAAAACGTTATTGTCAGGTGCATGTTGGTAAGGATTTATGTGTGTGTGTGTGTGTGTGTGTGTGTGTGTGTGTGTGTGTGTGTGTATGTGTGTGTGTGTGTGTGTGTGTGTGTGTGTGCTGTGTTCACATACCAGTATGTACTACAGGTTATCCACTGTATATGCTTTATACAGCCTTTCCAATGCTTCTTGTGTTTTGATTTTTCCATGTCATTTATTTCCCTGTGGTCTTGGAGCTGGAATCAAATGAGCCTATTAAACAAAGGTGATGAACAACATTTGCCAAAGGTTCATAAAGGAAAAGAAGGACTTATTTTATGCATTAAGTTAGCCTGTTGAACACTTTAATGAGAGGTAAATCCAAAACAGAAACTACAAAGAGGTTTCCAAAGCCTCATAGCTCAAGGAAAAAAACAGGAACCATGGCTGGCCTAACCTGTTAGGGAACACCTAATCACGCCCGACCTACTTCCCTCTGCAATCTTTTTGAGCCCTGTCACTTCCTTCTCAAGGCAGCTTAATTGATTCCCCAAATGCCCAGAAGCCAACAAGTTAAAATCAACTCCTATTCTGGAATATAACTGGGTTTATTTGAAATAGCTAATATAAATGTAATTACTGTTAATACAGCTTATTCAGGAACATGTGAATGACATTCAAGCAAAAACTAGATTTTCTTTGAAGACAGGGCTTCAAGATTAGGTAAAAACACACTACTTATTAGCTTTGTAAATGGATGGCAGCATCATCTTTAGTTACTTAATTTAGTAACACAACTTTAAATCAACAAAGCCTGACTTAACAATGTGATGTGACGAAATTGCTCTATCTTGCAAATGTATATTCATTTTAATCTCATGCACTGCAAAACTTATTTTGGTTTAAAAGCTTTATCTGCAAATAAGCTTGAAACTACAGCTGTAAGATAAAAGCAGTGGTGTAACAAGCTCCCACCCAAAATAATAACAATTACAGTACCATGAATTGTAGTCAGGTATAGTTCTTATAACAATATGGTCCGACTGAGCTGTGTTTATGCTGTATAATATTAATGTTAATAATATTACTGCATTATGTGTCATTATCTGTGGTATGCCTGTCAGAGTTACTGATCTGCCTTCCACTCACATGTCATGTCATCTGTTTGCAGGACCATCCTTATAAGTATATTTACATGCAGGTGTGCAAATATTTACTTGTAGTTTTTGTCAAACTGCTAGATATTAAAAGTTGCTTATATGGGCGGGAAAGCAGGAAAGTCAACATTCAAACATTGTCATGGTGACATTTAAGTTTTACTGGAGGGAATAAAGACAAAAATAAGAAAAAATACAGAAAGAGGGGTGGGGGCTTTTAAATAAGGTGTGTCGACCTCTATTTAAAAAGCTTTGTGTCAATGCTCTTTTCATTAAAATCCTCTCTTCCACTCTCTCAACATTGGACGTTTATATCCATATTCGGTAAGTAGAAATTTGTTTGTGAATCCTTTTTAAAATACAGCATTTTACATTTGCAATAATTAATACCTAACATGTAGCATTATCTGGCATAAGATCATTGAGATGCATGAATGAGCTTCTAGATGTGGTTTGTGTATTGTGTGGTGTGCTGCATCTGAATAGAATTAACATGTCAATCTATGGTGAGATTCTAATAATTACAATTTGAAAATTTTGATAGATAAGTGGATATTATAAGACAAAAATGATGATATTGGTGAAAATTTTGTAAATTAAGGTTACGAAGGTTTTCATGGGGAAACCCGATAAAAGAAAAGAAAAGTTTTTTAAAAAGATGATTATTTAGTGGGTGGGAAAACTGAGAGGAACTGTAAATTAGTGAGTGTGGACAGTGTGTGATATCATGAAGCCAAATACATTGAGAAGAAACAAACAGTAGGCAAGGAGCGTTCAGATGCTGAATTGTTTTAATAAATACAGACTTTCCTGCCACACCAAACTACCAATTTGTTTCTCAGTTGCACCACCAATATTTGATCATGTCTCTTCTTTAAAACCAATGGTCACTATGAATTTAGTATTTACCCCTGAGGGACAGAGAAGGGATACCAAGGCAACAAGAGAGAAAGACTTGAAAACGAAATAAGCTGCAGTGTTCAAACCATGTGTTTAGATGTAGCATGAAGCATTACTACAGTTGTGTAAAATGAATAAATCAACAAACACTGAACTATATAGTCAACAATATTTTCTTATTCCAGCCACCATGTCAGACATTGTGCACGCAATGGTTCTCCTTAGGGATACCTTTGAGAGGTACGCTAAAAGAGATGGCGACAAAGACACTTTGACCAAGTCAGAACTCACTAAACTGTTCCGAACCGAGTTCCCTGGAACAGGAGTAAGTAGAAAAGCTACAGCACTTTTACCACAGTGAGCTGCCTCTTTGTCTATTTGATGTTTTACAATCTACTTACTACTCATACTGTTATATTCTTTTTTTAGCACAGAGACAAAGCTGCACTGGACGACTTCTTCAGTGCGTTGGATGACGACGAGGATGGTGTTGTTGATTTCACTGAGTTTGTTACTTTGCTAGCAACCCTAGCTGAGCTTTACACTGAGTATTAAATAAATACTTTTGCCACAGTGCCTCTGAACTTTCTTGCCTTATTTAATTTGTACTGAATAAAAAAACCTACTGCCCCAACGTCCGCCAGTACAGCCAAATCTATAAAATATACATGTCAGTATCAGATGTTCTCAGAAGGAAAACTTGGGAAAACACACACAATAATCAGCGATGGGTATGTTGGCTTGATTGACTCGAAATGTGCTGGCCGTAAATGTTTATTACTAATTACGAATGTCAGAAGTGACTAATAAAGAAATAAAAAATAAATGTTGCTGCATTTTTATATCATAACTGTTTTGTATGTGTTCATAAACGAAATACAATATTATGCAAACTCAGCATTTTCCACTGCACATCGAGGCAGAAATGCCTTTAAAATCCTCCTTTCAGCCTTTTTACATAACATGTTCACAAATAACATGTTCATCATTCTGGCACCCATCTCTTAGTTAAACATTCACTGTTATGTCACAGTTTGGATAATGTACACACAAAAGAGGGAGTAAGACTGAGGGAGATGCAAACAGCTTCATATCTAAAATGTGTTCCATAAAAAGCTTACAACTAGACTGGCTTAAAGGTCCACTGTGTAACATTTAGGAGAATCTATTGGCAAAAACGGAATAAACTATTCTTGTTGTCATTTGTGTATAATAACTTGAATATGGGAATTGGTGTGTTTTCATTACCTCAGAATGAATCATTTAATCTACAGATGCTGTGGGTTGCCTTTTAATGGAGTCCGCCACATTGAACCACCATGTTTCTACAGTAGTCTGGAATGGACAGACCAAACACTGGCTGTAAATAGGGCCTTCCGCCTTTTTCGTAACCATAATAGTTTCTCCTACAGCCTGCTCTCATTCCCAGGTTGTCAAATACTGACACCAGTGGTGTTGGGTTATTTGCAATGTGCAACTTGACCACTATGGGTCACTAAATTCTACACACTGGTCCTTAAAGTATGTATACATCTGCAAACCAATAAGCAGTTTATTCCATCTCTAAAAACAGATATATCTTAAAATAATTGTCAGGTGCATGTTGGTAAGGATTTATGTGTGTGTGTGTGCTGTGTTCACATACCAGTACGTGCTACCGGTTATTCACTGTAGATGCTTCATACAGCCTTTCCAATGCTGCCCTCTTGTGATTTTTTTTTTTCACTCTGACGTTTTAATGTCATTTATTTCCCTGTGGTCTTGGGGTGGGACTCAATTAGCCTCATAAACAAAGGTGATGAACACTATTTGCTAAATGTTCTTAAAGGTGAAGAAAGACTTATTCTATGCACCAATTAAGCCTTTAGAAAACTTGAATAAGAGGTGGATCCAAAACACAAACTAAAAACAGGAGCCCAAAGCGTCATAGCTCAAGAAGGACAAAACAGGAACCATGGCCGGTCTAACCTGTTAGGCAACACCTAATGACCCCCCGACCCCGCACTGCAACATTTCTTTTGGTTTAAAATCTTTGTCTGCAAATAAACTAGTAACTACAACTGCAAGATAAAAGCAGTGGTGTAAAAAACTATATTTCCAACAAAAATAATAAGAATAACAGTGCCCTAATTGTGGTACAAAGAATTATTTATAAATTTCTCAAACTGCTAGATATGAAAATCAGCTTGAATAGGAGGGAAAGCAGGAAAGTCAACATTCCAACATTGTCATTGCGACATTTACGTTTTACTGGAGGGAGGAAACACAGAAATAAGAATAAAGACAGAAAGAGGGGTGGGGGCTTTTAAATGAAGTGTGTCAACCTCTATTTAAAAAGCTTTGTGTCAATGCTCTCTTCATTAAAATCCTCTCTTCCACTCTCTCAACATTTGCACCTTTTTATCCATATTCGGTAAGTAGAAATTTGGTCTTAAATCCTTTTTAAAATACAGCATTTTACATTTGCAATAGTTAATACCTAATATGTAGCATTATCTGGCATGAGATCATTGAGATGCATGAATGAGCTTCTAGATGTGGTTTGTGTATTGTGTGCATCTGAATAGAATGGACATGTCGATCTATGGTGAGATTATAATAATTACAATTTGAAAATTATGATAGATAACTGGATATTATAAGACAAAAATCATAATATTGGTGAAAATTCAGTAAATTAAGAATTTCAGGGAGAAAACCCCATAAAATGAATGAAAAGATGTTTACTTAGTGGGTGGGAAAACAGAGAGGAACTGTAAATTAGTGAGTGTGGACAGTGTGTGATATCATGAAGCCAAATACATTAGAAGAAACAAACAGTAGGCAAGGAGCGTTCAGATGCAGAATTGTTTTAATAAATACAGACTTTCCTGCCACACCAAACTACCAATTTGTTTCTCAGTTGCACCACCAATATTTGATCATGTCTCTTCTTTAAAACCAATGGTCACTATGAATTTAGTATTTACCCCTGAGGGGCAACAAGAGAGAAAGACTTGAAAACGAAATAAGCTGCAGTGTTCGAAACCATGTGTTTAGATGTAGCATGAAGCATTACTACAGTTGTGTAAAATGAGTAAATCAACAAACACTGAACTATATAGTCAACAATATTTTCTTATTCCAGCCACCATGTCAGACATCGTGCACGCAATGGTTCTCCTTAGGGATACCTTTGAGAGGTACGCTAAAAGAGATGGAGACAAAGACACTTTGACCAAGTCAGAACTCACTAAACTGTTCCGAACCGAGTTCCCTGGAACAGGAGTAAGTAGAAAAGCTACAGCACTATTACCACAGTGAGCTGCCTCTTTGTCTATTTGATGTTTTACAATCTACTTACAACTCATACTGTTTTATTCTTTTTTTAGCACAGAGACGAAGCTGCACTGGACGATTTCTTCAGTGAGCTGGATAGCAACGGGGATGGTGTTGTTGATTTCACTGAGTTTGTTACTTTGCTAGCAACCCTAGCTGAGCTTTACACTGAGTATTAAATAAATACTTTCGCCACAGTGCCTCTGAACTTTCTTGCCTTATTTAATTTGTACTGAATAAAAAAACCTAGTGCCCCAACGTCCGCCAGTACAGCCAAATCTATAAAATATACATGTCAGTATCAGATGTTCTCAGAAGGAAAACTTGGGAAAACACAAACAATAATCAGCGATGGGTATGTTGGCTTGATTGACTCGAAATGTGCTGGCCGTAAATGTTTATTACTAATTACGAATGTCAGAAGTGACTAATAAAGAAATAAAAAATAAATGTTGCTGCATTTTTATATCATAACTGTTTTGTGTGTGTTCATAAACGAAATACAATATTATGCAAACTCAGCATTTTCCACTGCACATCGAGGCAGAAATGCCTTTAAAATCCTCCTTTCAGCCTTTTTACATAACATGTTCACAAATAACATGTTCATCATTCTGGCACCCATCTCTTAGTTAAACATTCACTGTTATGTCACAGTTTGGATAATGTACACACAAAAGAGGGAGTAAGACTGAGGGAGATGCAAACAGCTTCATATCTAAAATGTGTTCCATAAAAAGCTTACAACTAGACTGGCTTAAAGGTCCACTGTCTAACATTTAGGAGAATCTATTGGCAAAAACGGAATATACTATTCTTGTTGTCATTTGTGTATAATAACTTGAATATGGGAATTGGTGTGTTTTCATTACCTCAGAATGAATCATTTAATCTACAGATGCTGTGGGTTGCCTTTTAATGGAGTCCGCCACATTGAACCACCATGTTTCTACAGTAGTCTGGAATGGACAGACCAAACACTGGCTGTAAATAGGGCCTTCTGCCTTTTTCGTAACCACCATAGTATCTCCTTCAGACTTTACAGCCTGTTCTCATTCCCAGGTTGTCAAATACTGACACCAGTGGTGTTGGGTTATTTGCAATGTGCAACTTGACCACTAGGGGTCGTTAAATTCTACACACTGGTTATTAAAGTATGTATAAAATACATCTGCAAACCAATAAGCAGCTTATTAAATCTCAAAAAAACGATATTGTCAGGTGCATGTTGGTAAGGATTTATGTGTGTGTGTGTGTGTGTGTGTGTGTGTGTGTGTGTGTGTGTGTGTGTGTGTGTGTGTGCTGTGTTCACATACCAGTATGAACTACAGGTTATCCACTGTAAATGCTTTATACAGCCTTTCCAATGCTTCTTGTGTTTTGATTTTTCCATGTCATTTATTTCCCTGTGGTCTTGGAGCTGGAATCAAATGAGCCTATTAAACAAAGGTGATGAACAACATTTGCCAAAGGTTCATAAAGGAGAAGAAGGACTTATTTTATGCATTAAGTTAGCCTGTTGAACACTTTAATGTGAGATGGATCCAAAACAAAAACTACAAATAGGTTTCCAAAGCCTCATAGCTCAAGGAAAAAACAGTAACCATGGCTGGCCTAACCTGTTAGGGAACACCTAATCACCCCCGACCTACTTCCCTCTGCGATCTTTTAGAGCCCTGTCACTTCCTTCTCGAGGCAGCTTAATTGATTCCCCAAATGCCCAGAAGCCAACAAGTTAAAATCAACTCCTATTCTGGAATATAACTGGATTCATTTGAAATAGCCGATATAATTTTATTACAGTTAATACAGCTTATTTAGGAACGTGTGAATAACATTCAAGCCAAAACTAGATTTTCTTTGAAGACAGGGCTTCAAGATTAGGTAAAAACACACTACTTATTAGCTTTGTAAATGGATGGCAGCATCATCTTTAGTTACTTAATTTAGTAACACAACTTTAAATCAACAAAGCCTGACTTAACAATGTGATGTGACGAAATTGCTCTATCTTGCAAATGTATACTCACTTTAATCTCATGCACTGCAAAACTTATTTTGGTTTAAAAGCTTTATCTGCAAATAAGCTTGAAACTACAGCTGTAAGATAAAAGCAGTGGTGTAACAAGCTCCCACCCAAAATAATAACAATTACAGTACCATGAATTGTAGTCAGGTATAGTTCTTATAACAATATGGTCCGACTGAGCTGTGTTTATGCTGTATAATATTAATGTTAATAATATTACTGCATTATGTGTCATTATCTGTGGTATGCCTGTCAGAGTTACTGATCTGCCTTCCACTCACATGTCATGTCATCTGTTTGCAGGACCATCCTTATAAGTATATTTACATGCAGGCGTGCAAATATTTACTTGTAGTGTTTCTCAAACTGCTTAATATGAAAAGTTGCTTATATGGGCGGGAAAGCAGGAAAGTCAACATTCAAACATTGTCATTGTGACATTTAAGTTTTACTGGAGGGAATAAAGACAGAAATAAGAAAAAATACAGAAAGAGGGGTGGGGGCTTTTAAATAAGGTGTGTCGACCTCTATTTAAAAAGCTTTGTGTCAATGCTTTCTTCATTAAAATCCTCTCTTCCACTCTCTCAACATTTGCACCTTTTTTCCATATTCGGTAAGTGGAAATTTGTTTTTAAATTCTTTTTAAAATACAGCATTTACAATAATTAATACCTAATATGTAGCATTATCTGGCATAAGATCATGTATAGTCAACAATATTTTCTTATTCCAGCCACCATGTCAGACATCGTGCACGCAATGGTTCTCCTTAGGGATACCTTTGAGAAGTACGCTAAAAGAGATGGAGACAAAGACACTTTGACCAAGTCAGAACTCACTAAACTGTTCCGAACCGAGTTCCCTGGAACAGGAGTAAGTAGAAAAGCTACAGCACTATTACGACAGGGAGCTGCCTCTTTGTCTATTTGATGTTTTACAATCTTCTTACAACTCATACTGTTTTATTCTTTTTTTAGCACAGAGACAGAGCTGCACTGGACGATTTCTTCAGCGAGCTGGATGACGACGGTGATGGTGTTGTTGATTTCACTGAGTTTGCTACTCTGCTAGCAACCCTAGCTGAGCTTTACACTGAGTATTAAATAAATACTTTTGCCACAGTGCCTCTGAACTTTCTTGCCTTATTTCATTTGTACTAATAAAATAAACTAGTGCCCCGAATTTTGTGACTTATGTGTTGAAATGTGCTGGCTTTGAGTGTTTATCACTCATTTTGAATGTTAGAAGTGACTAATGAAGAATTAAGAAAATTATTTGTGAAAATAAATAAATAGATAAACAAAATACAAATATTGTGCATCTTTAAACACTTTTTAAAGGATGAATTCACACTTTATACATTTATTTAGCCTGTAGAAAATGTGACAAGAGGTGTCTAAAGCCAGCTGTCACCTCACTGCTGAAGAAAAACAAAGCAGCAGCCCGTCATGACTTCACACCTCCTTCCCTCTGCTCGATTTGAGCCTTCTCACTTCCACGAAGCAGACTGCTCATTTCTGTTTCAGTATTTTCCCAGACGTCCAAAGAATCCACCAGTTTCAACCAACTCTTGTTTTAGAATATAGCCAAACTGGATTAAACTGAGTCAAATAAATCAAATTACAGTAACTACAGCTTATAGGAATATGCAAAACTACACAAGGGCCCTCTACACGGCTTGTAACAATTTATATAAATAATTCCATTGCTTGTTTTATATAGATAGATATAGAGTTTGTTTACTATCACATAACACAAATAAAAGGCAGCAAATTACTAACTGAGAAGCTGGACATAAATGAGTTTTGCAATTTATGTTTGAAAAAGGACTTGAAACGATTAATATGTCATCGATCCAATCCTTAACCCTTGACAATTTAAATTGGTTGCAGTTGTCCCCACTCTTTTCAGCATGTGACCCAGCGAAGTCTACTCATGACCCATGAACACAGCTTGGGGTCTTTGATTGTGAGCAGTCCTTTTAAGATTGTTCCTCATATGATTACATTAAAACAATGTTTAGATTAATAAATAGGTTAAGCTATCCAATAGGGATTTGGCCGATCCGATCCAGTATTGGTATCGGGACTGATACCAGCATAATTCACGGATCGGAATTTCCCGATCCAACCTGCGGAGATATCCGATCCATGAGCCATGTCTGTGCTTTAACGTTGTCTGCTGAAATGACTCCACAAGTGATCCCTGCCGGCCAGTCTGCTAGCTGGCTGCAATCTGTGGAATGGATTTCCTAAACGGAGGTGCGGCTCAATGAGACACAGAGTTATGAGACACGCCTCCGCTCTGTAAGATGTTTACACTTATTGCACTTTTCTTATATTTCAAATATTTGACATTTTGGGAATTTAATAAATATTGACATGACAATAAATTTGAAACCCTTACAGTTGCATATCTGTTTTCAGAATGGGATTTTTCCTGTTAACAGGATTTCCTGTTTTTCTGACTTCCTTTTCTGACCTTATACTTACCTCAAGTTGCCTTTTGGGACATACATGCATACATACGAACATATCATACTTGCCTGTTGAGAGGAGTTTATTTCAGCCTCATATATAATCAACAATAATAATAATAATAATATTAAAGCAAACAGAGCTCTGGTATCGGAATAGTATTGGTATCAGCAGATATCCAAATTCAGGTATCGGGATCGGATCGGCAGTAAAAAAATGTGGATCGGTGCATCTCTACTATCCAATATAAATACAACAAAAAACGTACGAAACATTAACAGAAAAAGGACTACACATTTTCTTTCTTATCCATTATTCCTGTAGACCCCTGAGACCTTTCTTGGGTCCCCTCGAGAAACCGCGATCCACAGGTTGGGAACCATTGGGTTACACTTGTTTATTACAATTTAACCTGAAAATAACACTGGCGGACTTTCCCTGTTTACAAATATGCGACTTAGTACCTATACAGTCAATGCCTAGTGCCCACGATTTCAAAGGAGTCTGAAGTGACCCACATGGAACGCATCCTGGGGCGGTCTCGCGAATCATCGGACACGGTCGGCTTTTTCCGGCGATCTCGGTCAGTTAGCTAGCCAAGCTGATTAGCCTGCTACTACCAGCTAATGTTTGTAGGATATTTATTGCTAGCTGAATTGGAGCGGATGATACAAATAGTGTAGAAAAAATGGCGGACGTCGAGGGAGAAGGAATTTGTTCATCGGTCCCTCCGTTGCCTCACCCTTCCTCTCGTAACGGCTCCGGTAGCGGTAACGTTACACCGGGCACCGGCGGCAGCTGCCAGACGGCGACCACCGTTACTTCAGGCCCACGGCTAGTTCGTATAGTGAAGTCTGATTCGGGCTACGGGTTCAATGTTCGGGGACAAGTTAGTGAAGGTGGGCAACTACGGAGCATTAACGGGGAATTGTACGCTCCACTGCAGCATGTCAGTGCTGTTCTACCGGGAGGTGCCGCCGACAGAGCCGGTATTTCGAAGGGGGACAGGATTCTTGAGGTGTAAGTGGCTACTGTATTAGCTTTACCAAAATCATATTGTGAGTTAGTTAACATACGAATGAGTCTTTCAAGGCAGGCAGGACCTGTGAGCATCATTCCCTATCGTACTGGGACCAATGTCGGCCACCAGCCAAGAAGCTTGTGTGTCACACTGGTCTTGCAGGGCAGAGAAGCCGCTCATCCCAATGAAAGGAGTGTCTGTGTGTGTGTCAGAGAGACTCAGATCCAGGGATCATTAGGGATTCCAGTCACACTGAAACCTATTGCA